GGCTATAGAAGTCTGAGCTGCGGCCGAGGATGTAGCGCTATCTCCACCGCCGTTCTGCGCGTATATAGCGTCTCCATGCGACTCAGATTTGGCTGAAGCCTTGAGTTGAAAGTCTGCGTACAAGAGGTGACCATGAGCAATGCCCAGGTCATTCAAGCTGTTTCCCTTTAGATCATCTGCCTTGTTCTCTCCGCCTCGAGGTTGATTGGAGAATGTGAGGGTGGATGGATCTGCGTCTGGAGATGCTTGAAGCAGCTTTTCGATGAGGAGGCTGATGTCGTCCGTGCCCTCCACAGGAAACCGATGGTTCCCATCCCTGGTGCGGACCCGGACCAGCATCGCGGCTGCGTTGAATGACGAAGCTGCGCTTGGGATGATGCTTGTGCACTGGCCAATGTTGGGGATGGGTGCGGTGTGATGTAGTACGGTATGGTGTGAGCAGCCAAGCAGATAGGCAACCGAGACGGCGCTACGGTGGTAGCTGCGCTTCTCGAATCACTCCTCCACGCGACGCGCGGCTTTCGGGAGGTCTCAGCTGAGGTGTCGTCAGTGTCACTCAAACACTTGAGTGGTGCGCATCAATTTCGAGCTCGAGTTGCCCTGTGCGTAGAGGTCGCGAACGCGGTGATCATCGGCCGATGAGCGCCGAGCGTGACTGGTCGTAATCCACGTGGCGAGCGCAACAGCACATGCGCCCGAATGCTCCGCGCGCGTCTTCTGGTCAGCAGCGACAAGAGTCGCACCAGTTGAACCCGCCGAGGCCCGGGTGAGGGCAGGCAAGCAAGCAAGCATGGCGCGTGAGCGAATCAAGTTCCCCGCGTTGGTCAAGCAAAGCGCAAGTCGTGAGTCGTGCACGAGTCACAGACTGAGTGCGGCAGCAGCGTGATGCGGGTGGCATTGAGTGATTCGTCGCTTATTCGTGATCACGACTCGTGACTTCAGCAGGCTTCACCCTTCCCACCACTCAACTCGCTGCAAGTTGCATCATTGGTATCATTCAAATTGCCAGACTCTCTTACGCTTCCTGTCAACCACGTCTGTCATTCTACTTCTACCCTCGACCTACGTTGCCTCATCAGCAGCGGCGAGTCAGACGCAGGCAGTACTGCTCATCATAAAAGGCACACACGATCACAATGTCCAGCTTGATTTACCCTCGATCCGCCATGGCGGCTAGGCGGTTCCAGCTTGGTGAGTTGGAATTTGCGCTTACAGATGATCGCTCCCAAACGCTTGGGGGGGAGCAAAGGCGGTCTAGAAAACCGGTCGAATGAATACCTGCATTGAAGCGCTAGGCTTGAATGAATGGATTACAATGCCAGCATCACAATCACGCGTCGCATGCCTACGAAGTGGCGCAGAGGGGCGTAGGGTGTGTAGCGCGCGGATGGCACCAAAGGCGTGGCGGTCTGGCCTTGGAGTTGGATCATACTTTTCAGCTGTGAACTTCATGCCGGACTGTTTGAGTGTGGGACGCTCTCAAAGCTTCTAGGAGTGCTGCATCACTTCAATGCTGCACCGGCTGACATTCTTCTTTTGCCGTCTCTAGCCGCCTTCAGACCAGCTGCGATCCAGACAGCAGGTCTGCGCACCAGCGCTCCTTCATCCAAGCCAACTTCCGCCGCACCTCCCAAGGTCGGAATGTCTCAAGAGGAGAATTTGAACCTCTTGAACAAGCAGAGGAGCATCAGGCCAATCAGTCCTCACTTGACCATTTACCGAGTGAGTGCGACACGGCTCATGAAGACGATCAGATCGAGGTGCTGATTGGTGCTTCCCACTTGCGCTTCTAAATGCAGTACCCGCTCAACATGTACATGTCCATCTCCAACCGTATCACCGGTGCAGCTCTCTCCGCAGGCTTGGTGAGCTCGCCTGCATTCTTGCCCTCCAAGTTGGCTTTCTCTGACCCGATGAGCGCTTCACGAACAGTACGCGGGCGCAATCGCCTACCTAGCTTTGCCCTACCTAGGTTTCTTGGACACGTCTCTCGTTCCTTCTACATTGGGCTTTATTGCCGGTCTGCCTTTCTGGTTCAAGATGACCACGAAGAGCATCTTGGCTGTTCCCTTTGTCTATCACACCATTAACGGCGTCAGGCACTTGATTTGGGACTCTGGACGTGAGTATCATGGTCATTCACTTGCAGCAGCCGTGCTGAAGGGTGATGGCCCAGCGTCAGGAACCGCACACTCACTTTGAGATCCATCTGTCATCTCAGGTCTGCTTTCCAACAGCTCCATGGACACGTCAGGCTACACTGTTCTCGCTCTTACAGGTGTCACCACCGTCGG